TTCAGAAAATCCATCAAACAGACGCAACAAAGCACGCCACCACAGCTTGTCTGTCGATCAGCGATTTGTTGCCGACAAATATTGCATTCTTCCAGATATTCTGGCGATTTACAACACTCCTGCAGTAGCTGCGGCTCCTTTTTGACAGTTACCGTTGCTGGTGCGTTTGGGACAGTGCTGTAGTGGTGGTTCGAAGAATGATGAAAGCTTGCACCAAAGAAATTCCTCGGCCTTTTCAGAAGACCGGTAGGCTCCAGAGTCAACCGAACGCCCGTATAAATTGCGAACAACAAAGAAAGAAAAAAATCCATCCTCAAAATACTCAGTGATACGGCTGCGGAAGATGAATCCACGGGTGCGGAATAAAAATTCTTGGAGCCAATGAGCAAATGAAAAGTGCTTGTTTGAAGAATTGCTGCCGAAGAAACAGCCAGTGAAAGCACCAAAATCACACGGTGGGCGCGTCGAGAGCTTCGTACCAGGCATCCACGAGCATAAAAACGTCCATTTATCCAGTCAATATCCACTCGCCCCGCTGATATCGCGTAATGGAAGCAACATGCGCAACAGAGGAGCAGCAAAAAAGTTGTTCTAGCCAAGCCATGTCGGTCCCAGCCTGTGATGTCCAGCATGCCAGGGCACTGGATCAGCGCAAACAGGTAAAGTAATACGGCCATTAAATGGCGCGCAAATAATATCCAGGAAGACTGGATGCTTGCGATACAGCTTTTTCCACAGTCCAGGATAAAACGGCCCAGTGATGGATCGCTAGCCATCGTGCGAAGGAGCAAAGAAAGCAGCAGTGATTCCAAAAGACAGTACGAGATTTACAGAATTCTGACCAGAAATAACAGGCTGGAGAGAATTCAGAAACTGCAAATTAGGAATCCATGAGAATACTGAATAAAAATATGAATCGACTTTGCAAAAGAAGGAAACAGTAGCAACAGGGCGGCAATGTACACAGCAGCAGCAGCAGCGGTTAGTTATTAGTGCGTCAGGCAATCAACCAGGATCATATCAGTGGCCGATATCACAACCAGCGGCAATGTTTACCAAGCGCCCGGTTCATTGAACAGAGAACAATACCGCTTCATCGAGAATCACTCAATATTTAGGCACAGCGATACGAAGCAGTGCGCCGACAAATTTCTTACAGCTCCTCTTTTCTCAAATGCCCATCACTCTGATAAGCCATCATTGCGTGGTTGTGCACTTTTATACTATCGATGCAGCTCGAAATTCCTTGCAATTGTAGTGATCAAAGTTTCACCAGTGAGTGGACAGCCAACCGGAACTGGCTTTCAATTCCAGGCTTTCTTTTCCCATTGTTTCGGTAAGAAATACCCAAAGAGTTGCATTTCTGCTGCCTTTATTTCATTTGAATACTATTCTTCTGCATTCTTCATCATCGGCCAACAGCTCTCCTATGTCTTATTCTTTCCATGCTATTTCACACTGACCCACAAGACGAGGTGCGCATAGATATTTTCTCCAATACTCATAATCACATAGCGGGTCAGCTTTAATTCATAATCTGGCTCTCCAACTACGCAGCTGGCAACGTCTCCAGCTGCCTTAATCACTGTTGCATCCCCTGACTGGCAAATTGTTGATGATCTTAACGTTTGCTTCGTTTCTTAAAGGAATCACCGATTCAATAGTCTTCCAGAGAGATGCACTTGACAAGGCTTCTTGATTTCGAGACTCCCTTGAAATCTCGAGGCCAAAAAGTTTTACCAAAGTGTCGCACAACATCAAATCATCTTAAACAATGCAACCCTCTTATGTACGCTGTAAAAAGAATGGCAATGTTCGGAAGAAGGTGGTGATGATCAACGCAGCAGAAGCATCTCCCAACAACGTCGCTAACTTGAGATCATCGAATCATCTATTCTGGCGGTTCTAATGCTTTTGGTAAAGCATTCCTCGTTGTTTTTTCTGCATTTTCTTTCCATACTGCTATTCCACATATTATGATTTATCATTTCCATACTGCTACTCTAATTTTTTCGAAACAGTGTCATAGGAATGGTAATTTTTGGTTTCAAAATGATTCTAGCCGACAGCACAATTT